ATCTATCTATCTATCTATCTATCTATCTATCTATCTATCTATCTATCTATCTATCTATCTATCTATCTATCTATCTATCTATCTATCTTATCTACGTATCTACGTATCTACATATCTACTTATATTTATATAACACCACCACCACCCCCAATATCAGAATAAGTGACTCTGGGCAATGGTATGCAAGCATTTATATAATTTTGTAGGTTATTCTAATAAAATTGTGAAGATTTGAAAAGTATCCTTCAAAAGATTGTTAAATTTAGTTTGTTCTATGATTTAGAGAAAATGCCATTTGTTTCACTAAGCTCTAATTCCTATAATATAATGTGTTTGCTAAGATATTTAGAATGTTGTAAGATAGAAATGGGTTGGAAGGAGTTGGAACAGAATCAATTTAGAAATGTCTCTCAACTTAATTCTTACATTGCATGTTGAATTTAATTTCTTGAGTTAACATGCAGTTGCCTATTATATTGTGTCTTATATTGATCTGACAACTTAGATTGTTACAAGCCTCTAAAAAGGCTAAGCACAAAAGCAAAGATTTTAATTTTACCCTCCTGATTTTTTTTAATAAAATCACTTAATTGTTTTTGATATACTTTAGGTCTAACTGCCTTGCGAAGTGATGAAGTAATTGATCTGATGATTAAAGAATACCCTGCCAAACATGCAGAGTACTCAGTTATACTTCAAGAGAAAGAACGTCAACGAATAACTGACCACTATAAAGAATATTCTGTAAGTAACTGTTTATGACAAATGGTTTTACAAATACAGAGCAATATAAACACAGAATATCAAATTTCTACAACTTTGTGAACTAATGGAAATAAATTGTTTCAGCAACTGCAGCAGCAGAATACCCAAAAAGTTGAAGCAAGTAAAGTTCCAGAATATATTAAGAAAGCTGCCAAGAAAGCTGCAGAATTCAACAGCAACTTAAACCGTGAACGAATGGAAGAAAGACGGGCCTACTTTGATTTACAAACACATGTAGGATACTTGCATTTTCTTGTTTCAGTTGCTGTAAGCATAGGCTTGCTTGTAATCCGATTTCCTGAGAGATCTTTGCCAATGGCCTACTAGAAAGGAAAAATGCAAACATTGCATACACACTAAAGGAACAAATAACACTAGGAACAATTAGTGAAGTTGAATTGTATTTTTTGTGAATATCTACACTATATTGTGGACTCAAAGTAACATTGGGTTTGATATTTGTGCAAAAGTGGAAATTAGTTTTCTTGGAGCAGGAGAAGCAGGACTGTAGAAATCTTAAAAACTGTTCTGCTTTGATAAACAAACTCCATTCTATCAATGCTGCTATGTGAAACCATGTAACGTCGTTGCTTCTAATTGCAAAGCAAGCATTTTGTTTTGCTTTGTTTTGCTTTACAGTTACAGCTCAGAGTTGATTTGTAAGATTTTATTTAGGGAGTGAAACAGCTTTTTTCAAATCAAATATGCTGCTCTAGACCAGGGGTAGTCAACCTTTTTATACCTACCGCCCACTTTTGTATCTCTGTTAGTAGTAAAATTTTCTAACCATCCACCGGTTCCACAGTAATGGTGATTTTATGAAAACCTAATGAAAATTTTTAAATAATGCTATGACATTTTTTTAAAAAGTCAATTAAATTTTTTAAAAAGGAAAGTGCTTCAGTATCGGACAAAACTCCTACTGCCCACCATGAAAGCTGGAACGCTCACTAGTGGGCGGTAGGGACCAGGTTGACTACCACTGCTCTAGACTATTAGTGTTTTTCCCATTTATGTACAATAATGAAATTGTTCTCAGATTAGAATCAATGTGAACTCACAGATTATGGTCTTGCTTTCAGAAGGTTTCCTTATTTCTATATAGGTTCTATATAGGTTCATTTACAATTCAGTTGTTCATCTTTTGCTTTCAAATGAGATGAAATTAACAGTTACGATCCAGGTTGCTAATGTATTTTTAACTGATTGTAATGTTAGTGTTTTATTTTCTAAGCAGCTATGTTATGACAAGATTAAAAAAAATACATTTAAAATACATAAAAACATAAAAAATACAACCACATTCTACTAATATATGGTTCTGAATTGTTTATATGAGGGAGAACATGGCACAATCTCTTTTCTTTTATCTTTTGCCTTCAAGCAAAATGTAATGTCACAAAATTATTTTGATTGCCTCCTTTTGGTATGATTATTTTTATAGCTTGATAGACAAAAATTACTATCCATAAATTGTCAACCAGAAATTTTAGATACAGGATAGAATTTTACACTATATTTATTAACTATTAATTGTCCTATATGAAACCATGTGCATTTGCCATATTATTTGATGCAGAAATCTGTGTTTCAGATACTCCTAAATATACAGTTTTAAATCAATTGTGTGATCTAATATTTGAAGTATAATAGGATCATTCAAACATATACCTTGTTACATGATATATTGTTAAATGATGTATGTATCGCAAATCCATGGATGTAATTTATAAGAAATATTTCTTGATTATTTAGAAAAGCTAATTCAGTCAGAAGTATGGGAAATGATTTATTATTTTTGTCTTAACAATACAGATTATCCAGGTGCCTCAAGGAAAATATAAGATCTTACCTACAGAAAGGACAAAAGTTAGTCCTTATCCAGTGGCTCTCATACCAGGCCAGTTTCAGGAGTACTATAAAAGGTACTAGAAATTTGCTGTGATTACGCTAATGATTTTTTTTTTAAAATGTAGTTTGTAATATTCTGTGAAGATTTCTGCATGCATGGATCATATTACCTATTACGGGCTGGATGCTAGTTCAAGTGTAACATGTGATTCTTAAAGACTTGATTAATTTAATATGTATTGTGTATACATATACCCACATATACAAATTAACATCCTTTATGCACTTCTTACTGGTATTTGGTTAAAATTATGTAAGTGACTGCTAAAATACTAAATTTGGTTTGTCTTTTTCTGTATCACCTCATCTATTTCAATTTGAAATCTAAGTTTAAAACTTTTTACTTAACTTTAGATACTCTCCAGATGAACTTCGCTATTTGCCACTAAATACAGCTCTTTATGAGCCCCCCTTAGATCCAGATCTGCCTGCACTGGATAGTGATGGAGATTCAGATGATGCAGAAGAGAGAGCAGATGAAAAGCGGAAAATCAAAGGCAATTTGGTAAACCAAAATGTGTGTGCACCAGATATATTTTTTAATATTAGCAATGTGTGCTGGGTTTTCTGTGGTTTGGACTATTTTATACAATAGTTTATTGGATTTTTTAAAATTACATTTTAGATCATATTATACTTTTTGTGGAGTTTATTATGTTTTCTAAATATTTATGTGTATATGCTGGGCAGGATCCCTGGACTTTGTCAGAATATACTAAGATTATATATCAATACACTAAACTAATGAGGTTTAGAATGTGTTATTTTGTTTTTCTGTAGAATGGGGGTGTCAAACCCAAGGCCTACGGGCTGGTTCCGGCCTATGGGGTGCTTAAGTCTGGCCCATAGAGCCGGCTTGGAAATAGCAAAGGAATGGCCCACTGTGCCTCTCCTAGCGAAAATGAGGCACCCTGTTTTCGGCATGGACAGCCTCCTGCAGCACTCTGCCAGTCAAAACGGGGCACAGTGTGCTGTAGGAGGCATCCATCCAATCTCCCACCAACACCCCTACCCCCCAAGCTGGCCTACGGAGGAAAACTACAATGCTGATCTGGCCCTCGAACAAATCCAGTTTGACACCCCTGCTCTAGAAAGTGTTAGTTTGTCTTTGCTCATCCCATGTAAAGAAGCAAAAAAATGGTTTTTCTTCATGTTACAGGACAACTCATCTGGCAATGTGTCTGAAGGTGAATGTGCAGCAGAAAACCAGGAAGAATCTTTGCAGGGAAAACAAAAAACAAGAGAGAGAAATTCTACTCCAAGAAAAGAGGGTTCCAAACGATCTGTATCCAAATCGGTTCCTGGGTACAAGGTAGAAGAAAAAAGCCCCTGACTCAGCTTCTTTACTGATCAGCTTCTCTCCCTGAAATATTTAACTTTGTTTTTCAAAATATGGAACGTCTGCTTACTATACTTGCCTAGCTGCTCTCCTGTTGTGCATTCCTGTTTGCTTCCTTACTTCCTGTTGCTTTATTTTACCTGGGGCCTTATTGTTTGTTACCCTGGCTGTGGAGTGGCTTCTATTTTCTGTACCTAAATGGTTCCTGAGCAATTGCAGCATGAGATCTCAGTATTAAGATGGGTTTTCTCCCTCTTTTTGCCAGGGTGGAGGAAAATTGCTTTGTTTTCCGGGCTTTAAAAAGTTGATAGTTGCATATCGAATATAACATTGTGTTTTAGTTTAAAATAGCTTGCTGACCAGTATGAACTGGACTAGCATGGTAAAATGTAGCTAGAATATTGTACATATATATTTATATTTTCTTAACTTTTTCCAAATGAAAAGTATGTAATCTGTTTATAATTTGGTGTTGGCAATCTTAAAACAATTCCCCTTGCATTTGTGGAGGAAGTTGGGAGGACAAGCTTTGGCTTGAGTAGTGTTTGATTTTTAGGAAGAAATATTCAGATAGTCTAATGAAACCCTCATTGTTAGATGCAGTGAAGATCATAAGTTGGCCTTGGAATAGGTTCTTTTCCTTATTTCTCTCCTCATTTTATGAAGGATACCAGAATGAAAAGATAGATGAACTTATTTGAATGAAGGTTGTGCTAACCTTGTAGAATAGAACCGTGCTACAGGCCATCATTTTGCAGTTTAAAATAATTTGGGGATAGAGAATTTGGAGAGATGGTGAGCTCCAAGTGAGATATTCTGGTATAGTTTTGGTTTTGTACTTCTAAGCAAATGACATAGAGGAAGTGGTTTAAGCTTACCAGGACGTAAAGAGTTATATTTTAAACAGTGATCATTATATAACATCTTTTAATTGTCAGTATTACTAGTGAATTTCAGTTTCGAATTAACTGAAATCTAGATTGAAATTTATATTGAGGATAAAGAAAATAAGCTGGAAGCTATTTGTTTACCAATAAAATTTGCTTACCAGTAAATTTTGCTTACACAGAATAAGGCATATGTTTATATGTTTGAATGGTTGTAAGAAAGAAAGTTAAGGAAATAGTTCTGTGATCCAAAAAGTGATTAGGTAGTATGAAGCCTGAGAAGTTACATAGTGCAAGTAACATGATTTTGAAATATTGCAAACTATTTTCAAACTACGTAACGTATATATTGAATGTATTACAGACTCATACAAAGTACAGTCGAGTCAGTTTTCAGTTAGTGTTGAGTAGCTTTCTTTGAAAAAAAAAAGATTCCAAATACAATTTAACTGCATAAATGCATGATTTCAGACACTCGTACAGAAATATACCCGTAAATGCTAGGAACCATTTCTTTTAAGAAGTTTTTAAAAATGATACAGAAAATGTTTAATTTTTTGTAGACATGTCTATTTTTACATAACAGCCTTGCAAAATGTTTTATTTCATTGCAGCTTCAAGTGTGTGCTAGTAATTTATATGATTAACTTATGAAATCCAAAGATGAAGCTTAGGAAGGCATTATAAAATTTTGAACTTGAGGTATTAAGTGAGAAAAATCCATGCATACAACAATGCCTGGCTAGTTTCTTGTGAAGGCACTGTAACAAAAGCCAATATACAAATTTTTGATTGCTAAAGGTAGTTTTATTTTTATATATATATTCTTCAAAATTTAGGTTTAAAAATGAATCCAAGTGATTACTAGTCACTGGTTTAAACCCATCCATATATAGTTGATCTATGGAGAAGTACTGGGAATTTGTTAAAGTGAATCTTAGTGAGGTGAGAATGTGAGAATTATCAGATGCATTTTGGTCCCAAAAAGAAAAAAAAACAGATTAGTAAACGAACAGTGCATTTTTTCACTTTAGAGTAACTAACTCTATATAAGAGCTAGTTTTACATATCTAATACAATGTGTGTTATGGAATTAATATGATATGAACATCCTTATCAGTTATTTACTGCATTTGATTCATCATGTGCCTAAATAAGTCTACAAATGGGGATTTAAATATTCCCAGGAACCATTAATAGTTACAATGATTTTATTGCATAGTGTTCACCCCATATATTAGATTATTTCTCTATTTACATTTTAAAACTAAAATTTAACTGTAAGAGCTTTTAGGAAAGATAAGCAAAATGTTAATACATATATTGCAAGTATTACAAATGGGTTTCTTATATTTACCTTTTTTCTAAGCAGGCAGATTGTTTTTTATTAATTTGTTAAACCATCTATCTTTTTTAATGGGGGCATCATACCTATTATCCTTCCTCAATAGCTATAAGATGAAGGACTGATGATTATAATTGTCATGGCAGTATTCTCAGCGAAAGGGGAAGATCCATGTCTGCATATTTCAGTAAAAAAGAGAAGATTGAAGTACAAGTCTGTTAACTGATTATCCCATTCTTTCTTTGTATTCCATAACACTCTGATTTACATTAATTTGCTTAGAAAAAAAGAAAGGTTTGTTTCCAGGCAGTGTGATTTCTAGAAAGACAGCATGCTTATGCATTTTGAGGATAAGCTACAAATTCTGTTGGTGTGGTTCAGACATCATTTCATATCCAATACACAAAGCACAAAGCTTTATTAAAGTATGAAAATGGAACATGTTCTCCTACTTACTGTTTCTCTTACTTCAGAGTAGCTTTCTCTCGTTGTCCACTCTTAGCTTCTCCAGCTTTGGAGAAGACTCCTTGGTTTACTCAGTCAGTTTCATGAAAACAAAAAACCTGGCTCAATAAGTCCCGACGTCACTGAAGCCAAGACAGATTCCCCTTGCTTTATTTAGAACTGACCGGTGAATATGATTTTAGCTGGTATACAGGATTGCAGTTTTAGTCTAAAATGAATTTTTTAAGCAGTAAGATTGAAAATCTTACTATTCTTTTGCTTGATAATTTAAGATGACCAGAACATCACTAAATCAGGCAGGCAATGTTTTCCAGTGATTCCCCCAATATCATTTTAATTTCTTTTTAGAATTGTTCCTAAATATCAATAGACTTTCCTTTTTCTTCATTTCTATAAGAGAGACATCCATTTTTGGATGTTCTTTTAAATTAGTATGTTGTGACTATTTTATTCCTAGATTTATAGAATTGAAATTTGGGGAAAACATTATTGTTAAATGTCTCTTTGCTGGTGCAGTACCTAGACTGCCCAGAAATATTAACTGCACTTAACTCAGTACAGGTATAGCAACAGAAAGGTAGTTTTGCATTGTGTGATTGAGAGGCAGCTTGCTGCTACATACTGTAGCAGTAGGTATGCATACAATAAAAGAAATAGCAAGTGTATTTTCTAATTGTTATCTTGATATAGTTTAAAACACAACAAACTTTATAGAATGTAGCAGTACAAAAGATGAAAGCTGCAGAATTGGGTTTATTCTTTTCTTTGGGAGGAGCAGGGTATAAAAACGTATGCAAGTAGGATTAGAATAGCAAATAAAAATATATGTCTGTTTCCACCATGGTTATTTATTATTTTGTAGAGATATTTGTGAATGTTAGACTCCTTTATCATTTCATTATATTTATGTATAAAACAGGTGGACTATGATTTTTTTTAAAAAAATAAATAAGCAAAAATATTACATGCCTCTGTCATCTTTTTAAAAAGAGCTATTTATAAATGCCTTGTGGGTGTTTAAACAAAACTGTGGAGGCCGAGTATACTACATAAATAATTTCTGAAATTAGGCTAATACATAACAAACACATATTAACTCTTTCAAATTTTATATTTAGTTTATAATTTCAGTTTTCTAGAACTAATTTTTTTTTAAATCAGGATAATTCAAATTTATTCTGCTTCTTTCAGCATTATTAAAGTATTCCTGATAGAGATGTGTATAGCAGAGTGATGCCTGCACACACTTTTCATTCTTTCATCAATAAATGTTTTCGTTCTTACTTTGATACCCATTTTTCTGTTAAGAGCAAATTGTTGTTAACAATTGTTACCTTGTAATTTGTAGCCATTTAGATAAAGTAAGCAACTATCCACCCATGTTTCCATGTTGTCAATGTAATATGAGAAGAGATTGGTATCAGAATTGGAGATTGTGTTGAATTCATTTAGTGTCTTTTCCTGGAGGAAATGTACTGTTATAGAATGAACAATAGATGATTATTTAAGGCCTAACTCAGCTTAAAAAAAATCTACCTCTGGTCTAGAATCTCCTCACCAGCATCGTTTCCTTCATGTTCTGATTCATCAATGTCAAACTTAAACATTGGTGCCCTCTTCCTCAATATCACATAAAGGCAGGACCTGTTGTCCTTGAACATAAATGCAAGGAAAACAAAAATATGTTAACTATGTCCAAGAAATAAGATTAAAATTTGTCTTATTAAAATATATAAATTACAGCACTTATTTTAGTTTCGTTTATAGCATTGTAGAGTTTAATAATTTGTGGCTATTTACAAATTCAGATATTTGAAGGGGAAAATAATCACCAGGGTAGCATACATATGGTTCCAGCTACATAGTTCAAATGTTATACAAATTAAATGTGTATTGTTTTCTGTTATATATTAAAATTTTATATGAAAATGTATCTAAATTTGAAAGAAAAATTCTTCAAATAATTTCACCAATCTGATAATTTTTGGCAATTCTTATTACTATAACAATTGAAACAAATTGAGAGCTACATATTTAATAAGGTTAGGGAGGCAATTTATTGGAAGGTAATTTACAGAAACGCTTTCATTACAAGCCACATAAAAATGATATATTAAGTATCTGGAGTACTTTTGATTATCCAATGTTACTTGATCAAAGGAACTTATATTTTTCTCCCTCCAATATTAATCTCAAATCTACACTTTAGGATTTCCCAAAGATGTTGAGCAGGTGGTGGTGGTGGTAACAGGAGGCTTTTGGAATTGAAATGACATGATACATTATTTTCAAATGATAGTAGTTGCTCTTACATGCAGAAAAAGCACTTGTTGACATGAATGGTATAAGATTATGATTAGGGAAGAAATTTGAAATTCTAATGATGTTATTACCAAGACACACTCCTTATAATTTTCACATTTTGTCAGGCATAGAGTAAACTATTTATATTGTTTGTACAAATTGAAGATACAGGTTCAGTTTAGGAAGACAGAGTATAATGGATGCTATCCATGGAACAAATGTAGATGCATAAAATTTATTTTCTGTGCAGATGTAAAAAATTGCTTGCAATTGATAGTTGTTGGTCTTTATCCTCACAAGAACCAATTTCAGCTTGTTTGCTTACATCTACATAAAATTTTATTTTGCTTACTGATGAAATAAACAGGTTTTAATCAGCCTGTGCATTAGACAAAAATATACTTAGAATTTTCAATATATAATTTCAATACTATACGGCATGAAGAGTTAATATGATAAGCTTAAATCTACATTTGAAGAATTATGTGTTAGTGATTTCATACACATTTATTTTACATAAGGAGATTAAAAATTCAATTTTCCTTTTAAAAATTCATTGATTAGTTGTGATTTATTATACATCATTATTATTTTACTTTGCATGTGTTTGAAATAGTCTCTATTCCAGTGTTTCTCATATAATCAATACCTATCAATTTTTAATCATGTCCTATGTTCTACATCACCCCGAAGGTTGGTTAATTTATAGAAATTTAAATAACACACATTTTTTTGAAAAAAAAAAACCTGTATCAATTCTTCCGGAATGAATTTATAGCCCTCTTCTACCCTTCCAGCCAAAGGTCATTCCAAATGCTATATGTGGAATTTGTCTGAAGGGTAAGGAGTCCAACAAGAAAGGGAAGTCTGAAGCACTTATACACTGCTCCCAATGTGAAAACAGTGGTAAGTAACAAATCTGCTTTAAACGTGTCTATATATTTAAATTGAAACAAAAATAACAATCAAAATATTTTTTTTTAGCAGTTACTAAAGTTTAATTAGCACATTTGATACACTGGTTTAAAGTAAATTTTATAAAATAAAATCATTTTAGTCTTGTCAGGATCCTTCATATAACCATTATAGTAATGATACTGGTTTTGATCTAGGACATCCTTCCTGTTTGGATATGTCTGCAGAGCTTGTTGCAATAATTAAGACTTATCCTTGGCAATGTATGGAGTGTAAAACATGCATTATATGCGGGCAGCCTCACCACGAGGAAGAAATGATGTTCTGTGATGTGTGTGATCGTGGCTATCATACATTTTGTGTTGGGCTTGGTGCTATTCCTTCAGGTAATTATATAAATTACACTTGTTCAGAGGCTGATCTAAAATTCAAGATTTGGATTGGTTTTTTTCTTTTGAAAAGATTGTACATCTATTATGTGAAGAGAATCTTGTGTTAACTATTCATTCTACAAACATTGTGAGTGTAGCTAAATATTTCATTACTTTATGCTACAGCATCTTATAGCTTATTTAGGATAGTGAATATGAATGTATTATCTTAAATCTGAGTACATTCATTACTGGAAAATGACTATTGAGTCAATTTAGGGTAGTGTCTTTTTTAATAGGAGGGGCATAAAAACAAGTTACAAATGTAATTTTATAGCAAACATGCTACATACTCATTAATATCCCCACTTCCCACATACAGCTACAGTAGCCTTTTTAGACTACTTGGCAATTGGTCATCTTTTAATTGATAGCTCTAATTTTGTAGGTCGCTGGATTTGTGACTGTTGTGAAAGACAACCCCCAATCCCCAGGGGCAGAGGAAGAAGAGGGAAGAGCAGCAAAGAAGGATAACTGCATATTAACTTCACAAAAGCTAGTGCTAAACCTGGTGCTACTCTATTTACCACTGTACAAGGAAAAACACCACTCAAAAACAATTTCACCAAATAAAACTTTTTAATTTTAACATGGTGAGGAAGGTTATTCAGTATCTTTTGTTGCATTAAAGACAGAGATGAACATATCTGTATTCTGTATTTTTATAATTTGTCATATAGATTCTTTTCTGCATAATAATCATTTTTATAAAAAACAATTGCAGAGTAATTACTTTTGTCCTCAATCCTATTCAAAGGAAAATATTATTAAATTCAAGAGTATTAGTAGAGTAACAATTCTCTCTAAATCACAAAACACTTCACTAAGTATACAGGTTTCTTGCATAATCAATTAGCATCTTATTTGTTTGAATATGATGCTATTATTGTGAAATTAAAGTGTATTGTAGGTACCAAGCTTAATATAAGTCAAGTGAACTCAAGTCAAGTGAACTCTTGAATAATTCTCATTTTTTTCCATTTGCAAGGAGTCTCTGGCCATTCCAGCTGTCTTGAGCTGTCACACACTTTAGAACAAAAACATAGAAGTTGTCATTCTACTAATTTCTTATTGATACTCTTTCTAATCTTTCATTTCTTCTGTATGCTAAGATCAGAAAATGAGTACAAATGCATGCCAAGGTCTTAAGAGAGCAAGCCAGTTTTGGAAACATACTAGTGTTTCATACAGTGATAAGTGATTTAGTTTCTACTGTAATGCAACATGTAGTTTGCTAAACAGCTTCTTGAAATTAATGTAGATATGGCAAAAATTTCAACTCACAGTCCTTTTTTTCCTTATTCCTTTCCTGGTGGTGCAATATTAAGAGTATTTTTCTTCTTCAAGGCATTTATTCAGAACATATTGTATTCATTTTCAAAACTTTTCAGTTTCTACCTTTCCAGTAATCTCATAGAACCTGGAGGAATTCTGGAACAAGGAAACTCAGGTATTGTTCCCTAAAGCTGCCAGTATGATGGTACTTCCTAGTAGGTGATAACTATGAATCTATAATTACATGATTTTTAAATAGATATAGATGGGCTTGCACTGTGGAAAATGATTTAAAATTAGCGGGCTAAAAATTCTAACATCAACATTTATGTTTAAAATCTTCATGCTTGCCTACAAATAATTCTGTATTCAGGTTGCTTCAATTAAAAATAGGTTTTAGTGGTGGTTGGAAATCTTTTTCAGAGTTCATTCTTCAAATCTTTCTCATGTAAGTATTTCTATTTTGGCCAAAGAAGATAGTCTTACATCTATCTTAATATATATAACATTATTTGTGAATATGTTAACAAGTGATGAAATATTGAGCATGAATTCATATTTCTACAATTTTGAAGTTTTATTGAAAATCACAGTGAATTGTAGCATCCATTAATATTCACCCTGATCAGTTAAGAGAAAACCATACAAATACTGAGTCTGCTACAATATAGCACTGGGAGAAGTTTACATTATAAAAATAATTATGGCTTTATTTTCCAACCCACAGCTTAGAACAGCATTCAATCATTTGTACAGAGCTATAAATTTAAAAAAGAATTTCAAGTATTAATTTTAGTATTCCAATCAATATAGTCCAAAAGACGGATTCCTCATCTTGATACTCATCTTCTGTTGAATGAAATTTCTTCTGGTTCGTTTTCATTTCTTCTGGATTGTATGAGCCACCACCAAAGGGAGATTCTACAACTGTTTGATCATAGTACACTTTCATTTCAAATTCACTTTCCAAATGAGAGGGATGACCATAAATTCCAATTCCCACTGGGCGACGAAAGTGTGCTGGCACATAAACCACATCTTGACCACAAGTTACAGACTGTAATTCATAATCATCGAAACTGGGATGAAGAGTTACATCAGATACGTACAAGTCTGCATCACCTTTTAAACTCTGCATCTGAAGCACTATTTTCCCTTCATGATTTAGTCTCAAGTAGCTGTAATTTCCAGCACCAATCTGACCTTGAACTACATGCAGGAGAATCCATTCTTCAGGTACATCCCCATCCTCATTAAAAGCACTTGTTATAAGAAGTCCTTGAAAAGTAAACAGTATTACTAGTATCCTCTTGTAGTAAGGGGCCATCACACCTGTGTTGGATATAAAATAAACCTGTGACTGGAGTACGTTCCAGATATAATGTTCTATCACTCGTAAAAAAAAGCAACAAAAAACCTAGTAGTTTAAACAGACTGTGTTAATATTGAATAAATATAGAAAAGTTATCTCCCTGGAAAATCAGTCTGATACTCTTCTGAAAACATTTATACCACTGGGATGTCAGGACCAAGTTGACCACAGGATCACAGATCGAAAACATACTGTCATTAATATTTTCTTAGTAAATGCGACCTTTGTAAACAGGAATAGGCTATTTTGCATGAAAATGGCCTTAAAAATAAGCATCTGTGATTGATTTAAATTTCAATAAGAGCATATAGATTTGCTTTTCTGTAGAACACAGGTTTTTTTCCCCTATTTAAATAATTCCACTGGTTCTATATCGCTATAGGCATATATGAAAATTAGGACTATTCCCTACATTTCCTGTAATGCTTCAAATAAAATTTTATAAACACACTAAACATAAATTGGAACTTAAACATACACAGAAGCAGCATGTGTTCCTAGAAACACCACAGTGACTTCATATCTTAACCTATCTTAATCTATAGATTCTGAAGGCAGAAAGTCCCAGAGTCTTGCAATACCCTGGAACAGCAATTCTTCCTCCGTGTCCTGAAATCGCAGGACAAGAGAGGAATACACACTGCTTTTCATCCATCAGAAGCAGGTGACTACAACCTAAAAGGTAACTTAATTCATCATAATAATTGGGGGAAGCAGGAAAATAGAGAACAGACATAAAAGTGAAACCATAGAAACGCATTCCCAGCACAGGGCACCAGGTACCACAAATAACAGAAAGCTTCCTCTGTTGTTAAACCTAGCGTTTAAATATGAGCCAGTAGTGTGCTGCAGCTGCCAAAAAAACCAACACAGTTCTAGGCTGCATAAACAGAGGGATATAATCTAGATCACATGAAGTGTTAATTCCACTTTATAATGCCTTGGTAAAGCCACATTTGGAATACTGCATTCAGTTTTGGTCGCCATTATGTAAAAAAGATGTTGAGACTCTGGAAAGAGTGCAGAGAAGAGCAACAAAAATGATTAGGGGACTGCTGGAGGCTAAAACATGAAGAACAGTTGCAGGAACTGGGTATGTTTAGTTTAATAGAAAGAAGGACTAGAGCAGACATGATAGCAGTGTTCCAATATCTCAGGGGTTGCCACAAAGAAGAGGGAGTCAAACTATTCTCCAAAGCACTTGAGGGCAGGACAAGAAGCAATGGGTGGAAACTAATCAAGGAGAGAAGCAACCCAGAACTAAGGAGAAATTTCCTGACAGAACAATTAATCAGTGGAACAACTTGCCTCCATAGGTTGTGAATGCTTCAACACTGGAAATTTTAAAAATGATGTTGGATAACCATTTCTCTGAAATGGTATACGATTTCCTACCTAGACAGGGGGTTGGACTAGAACACCTCCGTTATTCTATATTTTAAACCGAAATTTAGCCTCAACGTAGGAAGTTTCCAGAGCTATAAACTCACACCCCTGCAGCATCGGACCCCCGGTGCTTGCTCGTTTACACCAAACTGAACCCACCCCCGCGAGCAGATTTGCAATCCTAACAGGAAAGAGAGGGGGGGGGGGCAGAGAGGAGGGTGAGCGCGGTCTGAGGGGGATGTCAGAGAAGGCCCACCGGACAGTGTGTAAAGAAACTTAGAAACGCGCTCCGGAAGAAAATCTCCGCCTTTTTGGGAGCCACCCGCTTTCCCTTCAATTCTCCCGCTTCTTCTGGGCTTCGGGAAGAGTCTGCCGAGGGACGGGGGCGGGCGGAGGAGAGCCCCGCGCACCAACAAAGTAAATCTGTCGCTTAACGCCGCCGGAGTCTTTTAACTCTTCAGCAGCGCCCTTATAGATCCGCCAGGCAAGAGACGGGCCACTCCCCCCCCAGGCTCGCGCAAGGGATCGCGCAGCTCTTCTCGACCCCCTCCCCCTTTCCCTCCCTCGGCTTGCCCCAGGCCCAATTTGGTCGCCCCCGCCCCAAACTCACCCTATCGCGGAGCCACTTCGCTTGCTCTCCCAGCCACCATCGAGGGGCCGCCAGAATCTTTTGACAGAACGGCAATCGATCTCACTACGAGACTCCTCTGTAGCTTCGCGAGATTTCGACTCGAGCTTGCTCTACGGATTTTTTGTTCTGCGAAGCAAAAAAAAAAAAAAAAAGGGCGGAGCGATGACTGGGAGGGATTATCCGGAGAAATGGTCTCGTTCTATCACCGTGGCAACAGAAAACAGGTCGTGAGCCGAGGCTGAAGAGCGGCCAACCATTGGCTGAAAGAAACTTTGCGGGGAGCGCTGGTGGAACATTGCCAGCAATCATTGGCTGCTTCTTGTCGTGATTGTTATTATTAGAAAAGTTTGAAATACATGCATTGCCCTTCGTTCTCTTACTTTACTCAAAGCGTGAAAGTAATTCATAAAAATGAGATGTTTTTTAACGGCAAGATAAGGAGAGCCGACTATTAAAAAAAATCATCTGTCGCAGCATTTTTCAAAGCAGCTTACTACTAAAGTGTAAAAAAATAACAATGACAAATATGCGTATAATTAAACTGATTTGTAGGTAATTCTGCAAGTATGATTGATTTCCTACTAGCAATAACCGTGATCAATTTCTTCCCTAATTTCTAAGGGGCCCGAAACCTACATGTTAATTGAGTAGTTTTCCTTTATTATTGCTGTGGCCACATACATGAAATGCTGCCTTAGCCAAAGGAATTCACAAAGGAAGCTGGGGAGTGGTGGTGGTGAAGGAGATAAACATATAAAAAGTGTGTTGTGATGTCACAATGCAAGCTCTTTAAGTGCTGGTTTGATATCAGTATATAACTAAAGGAGGCTGCATATGAAGTGACAACTCATGGACATGTAAGAAGTAGCCTACAAAAAATTGTGCCAGAATGTATGTGTGTGTGTGTGTGTATTTAAATTATGATAAACTTTCATAATTATTATGAAAGTATTATTCGATCCTTTCTGTTCCCAAAACATACATACTTTGAAAAGAAAAGATATTTTGAAATGTGTTAGGACAATACAATCATAATCAACTGGAATACATAAAATAAGTTTAAATAAGTCTGAAATCCATATCTATGTGTGTATATATGCATACCATAAATACATTTTTGTATGTGGTTTATGTCTTTGTTGTGTGTGTCCTTGTATGTATATGAAATTTTGCACATATAACAGTACAGAAAACCAGTTTAGATTGCAGGAATTCTGTACAATACATGTAACCTACTAGGTATAGTATACTAGTATACAGAGGTCAGGATCATTTAATAGCCGCCTATTCAAAACTGGGCACTAATTATCCATTAAGGCTGAACTGAATGGTCATTTTGATTGAGACAATATGCCTTTAAGGTAAAATAGTGAAAATCTAAGTTGCATAATTGTTCATGTCACCATTTTTGGAATCAGGTTTTCTTAATTATGGCACTCATAACACAGAGAAAAATATACATGTTTTAATCTACTGTAACTTTTGTAAACATACTACAGTAACCCCCTTGAATAAATAGTGTATGTTTACCAACAATCATTTTGCCATTGATTATTTTAGAGAATTATTTTTCTGGAACCATTCTGGACTTGCAGGCAAACTTTCAAAGATACAATTCTCTCCAGGAAAATGAGATAGATAGATCGCCCACATATCGATTTTGATCTTGGCATATTACCTCTAAAGACAGGTTGGAAAAGAAAGGCGAAAAGCATCTCCATATAGAACAGCGCAATCCTCTCAGGCTCTTCGGAGCCGATTGAACGAAATCCGCAGGAAGACGAAAGCAACGTCTAGAATTGGCTCCGTGGCTTTGCCGTAAGCATCTTCGCTGCCTAGGAAACCAGGCGGCCGTCACATTCCAGCTGGGAAAGATTTACCTTCACCTCCTAATTTTGCATAACAGGAGACGGCGACCAACACTCGTGGCAGCCACGCACGGTAAAGAGAACAACGAGGATATTTTTCCCGAGGCTGCTTTGGGATTGATGTCCTCGCGGGTCGACTTGCAGCCACGCTGAAAAAAGTGCGGCGTGTCCCATATTTGGCGACCGTGCTGCCCCGCTGCAGGGATCTATACTGTGCTCTGTAGTGTTTTCGTTTCCACCCTCGTCCCCAACAGTCGTGGCTGTTTCACGCCCCACTGTTACCGTGGAATCTTCGCGGGAGAAAGTCTGGACGAAGTTCAGCTTCTTTTTCTCGCGGGCCTTTTTCTCGCAGAAAAGCCAGTGTGCAATCCAACGACAGGCTGGTTTTTCCGCGTTAGCAAAGCAGAATTGCCTGGGCTCAAGCAGCTTGCAAAACTAAAAAAAGTAAATAAATGTATTTTAGAGGTACCTGATGTGACCTACTAAAATCCAGAGAACTACTGGATTGGCAGCAATGATATAAAATAACAAGGCAGCTCTTTGTTATTTTCTAGTGGTTGACCAGAAATTTGCAAGATCTGGAAGCATTCTATAAACCAATCTGCTGGTTTCACATAAGGTAGCAAGCCTTAAATAAGCTTACTTCGTGGTACTTCAAGAAAATGTGATCTTTCGAGCACCATAAGAATTGTAGTTGCAAGGCAACATTGAGCCTGCTAGGATATCTCCTTGCCTAGTTTAAAAAGATCCACATGAGTCCCAGCTCTTTGCTGCAGCATTTTTTGGTTATGTTTTCCAATATCCTCTTTCTGACCAGGAACAAATTAAAACCAGTAATATATATATTGGTTTTCTACATCACAACTGATGGTATCTGAAATGTTCAAATAATCTAAAAGATTATTATAAATTTAGGTTTCCATATACAATATGATTTATACTTTCATAGTGAATGGCCTATAGTCCATAAAATCCTATGCTATAATTTATTTATTAATTTTAATTAAGGCAGAGAATTTTATTGCATAGTTTGATGTGCGTCCAAGCAAAGCTTTTATTGAGTAACTGCTACATGTCATTTCCAGAACTTCATCAAATTCCTTATTGCTGTCACTATCTTTCTTTTTAGAAAAATCCACTAAGGAAGACAGGATATACGTATGTCTGTGCAGTCTTTTTGAATGGTAGCACTAGGAATTCTCTACTCCAGCTGCTCCCAAATGGTTGGGCTCGGGGACCTGTTCCCTGGAGAGAGGTTTTTCTGTCTACCAGAGGGGGCGTGGTTTTGCTTGCTTCCTGCATCCTGTGGATGGGGCTTCGCTTGTTTGCGCAGGCCTGGTGCTGGTCCATGGGCCATGTTGAGGACTCCTGTTCTAATCTGCAAAGATGAAAAAAAAAAAGTAAATTATCAGGATGCTTCCAGACAGAGGCTCTTAAGTATTGAGTGTTTCAGTGTAAACCACAAAAATAATTACAAGTGACAATCCATCTTCTGGAGAAGCCAATTCTATTTTAAAGCAATAAGGATTGTTTGACAGCAATCCCTATCATTGCTTGTATTTAATAGAATTGTTGGAATTTAGAGTTCAGAAATTCAAACTCCTGCCTCTGTCTGCACTCCCTTATATATATCCAATGGAATTGCACATTTTAGTGTAATAATATTAATATAAATTCATATTTTAAATAGATTGCATCATTCACTTTATCTTAAAATGATTTAAATGAGAATTATTCAATTACTTTATAAGTTTGGGAGACTAAACTAATCCTTGACTACTTTCACTAAGGATAAAAGTACTGTACACAATATTTTGAATAGTATGTAAATACAAAATGCCTCTAAATATAATGCGTGATATAATTATATCCAATTTGTTATGTCTCAGGTATACTATGGAAAACCTCATGGACCTCCGCTCCAGTGAAGATGGATATAACAGCAGCAGCATTGTTCTTGAAAAACAAGTATTTAGATCAAAAGTGCCAGAATCACATGTTCAGCTGGCTTGCAGCCTCCATTACTGTGCTTTTCCCTTAAATGGAAATGAACTTTGTATTTGGAATATGAGTGATGAGCCCAACCATCAGGTTAAATACAAGTTTCTTTGTGGGCATTAATGCTGAAAATGACATTTTAGGGAAAGCAATCCGCAAGCACCACTTGTGCCAATACTTTTGAAATGAATATAGAAGTGGTTAAAAGCATATGTCCAGAAACAGCAAATATGATACCAGTGATGACGTAAAGTACACTTTTCATATTTAAAGGGATACTCTATCATCTATTTATTATGGCAAACACGCAACATAGTTTTGTGTTTGCCTAATGTCAGATTTCTTAGTGCAATTCCAGATGAAGTTTTCATCCTATGACTGCCAATACAACCAATTTCGTTGTATTTAAGTACAATGACAATAAAGATTATACATGCTGCCCTGTCACATTCACAGAATGTTACTGGGGTTCGGCCATCATTATCTTTTACTTGTGAATCTGCCCATATTTCATTTCTTCCCATTTTTATTTTTTATAATTCCTCCCTCCCCCCGAAATACAGAATGTTATGGGGAAAAAATTATTTCCTTATTTTTTTTCTCTTGTTTTGGAACTTTGCCTGCTAAAGCTTATTCTAGATCTAGACTGAAGGCTTAGGTTAGTGTACAGGTAATCCTCGACTTACAACCATTCATTTAGTGACCGTTTGAAGTTACAACGGCACTGAAAAAAGTGACATATACTGTTTGACACACAACTGTTGCTACATCCCTATGGTTGCCTGGTCAAAATTCAAATGTTGGGTGACTGGCATGTATTTATGAGGGTTGCAATGTCCCAGGGTCATACGATCACCTTTTTGTGACCTTCTGACAAGCAAAATCAATGGGGAGGTGTATTACAAGTGTATTACTAATTTTATCAACTACAGGGATTTGTTTGACAACTGTAACAAGAAAGGTCACAAAATGGGGCAAAACTCACTTAACAACCATCTTGCATAGCAATGGAAATTTGGGTCTCAGTGATGGTTGTAAGTCGAGGACTACCTGTAGTTGTTTTTTAATTGTGAGTTGAATTCAGTAGCAGTCAGATCCCGGATAGACTATGCTTGCACACCACATGATCCCCAATCTGCTGTGAAGGATCCCCACTTTTCAGGACAGTCTTAGAAAACTAATGTGAAGGTGGAACAATAAAGCAAATTGCTGTATCTAGTATGACTTTATCTATACTGTCTATTTTACCTTAAGGCCCATGAAGAACATTTGAGAAGAAATTTATACTTTTTGATTTTATGCACTGTATCCGCCTTAAAATAATCCAAATGTTCTTTTTGTTGTTGTTCAGCCATTGCGTTTAATAGGTCATCATCACTCAATTACTGCACTGGCATTTGGGACCAAAGTCGATCCTCTCCTTATTTGTTCTGCTTCACAAGATTATGTGATAGTTTGGAATCTGGATGAATGTACAAAGAAGGTGCTAGAAGGTCTGCTTTTGGGGATACATTCAATAAGCTTTAGACTTTTTTACAATGGAAAATAGATTTTTTTTTGCATTATAATTTGAATGGAACATATGTATTGAATAGGTTTTGTTCATATTATAATCCAATTTTTTTTTAATACATAAAAAATGAATGCTTCACTAAGATAATTGGAATACAGCGAGATACATGGTTGAAATAACTGAATTAGTAACCTTATAAATCATAGTCTATCTATACAGGCAGGAACTCTTATTAATTTCTGGATTCATTTTTCAAAGATAATATTAAATGTGTCCAATGTTAAAATATTTTGCTTTTTCCTGTGATGGAAGGTCAAGTTTGAATGCTCATCTCCTTTAATTGTAATATTTAGTTCCTTTATAAATTAAGGTTAAGTTTTATCTCTTCAAATAACAATTTCTGAGTGTAATATACTGTATGTGCTACCTGAATACAAATGTAGGTTGTATTCAGAGAAAATTGATTGATATAATAGTATACAAATATAAATCACTCTTTATTTTCATGCATGATTATAGGTAATTCTTGACTGATGACTTATGACCACAATTGGGACCAAAGCAAGGCAGCTGTTAAAATGAATGGCACTCATTTTTTTGCCTTTTTGCCATGGTTATTAAGTGAATCACTGTAGTTCTTAAGTGAATTTACAGTTGTTAAGCAAATCTGACTTCCCTCCTTGACTTTGCTTGCTGAAGCCACCTGGGAAAGTCACAAATGTCAATCACATAGTCCAGAACCATATAACTGTCATTAATATATGCCAGTTGCCAAGCACCTAAATTTTGACCACATTAGTATGAGGTTGTTTCTACAGTTGGAAGTGTGAGGACCATTATAAGCCATGCTTTTCAAGGTTGTTGTAATTTCAGATGGTTGCTGAATGAATAGTTATAACTCAAGTACTCTCTGTATTATTTTTCTAATACATTCAGTAATGTTTGTATGCAGTATGCAGATTTTATTTTTTCTTGAATTTCTACCCATTTTGCATGAGCCTGGAAGGGCAACATGAACAATTTGGCTGCTTTAGCTGTACCTCTCAATCCACTTACTTGCATACAATATAAATTTACTGACCTCAGTGGGCCATACTTTGACAAGACACATAGGATGTTGCGAGAAGTTCTTTAAGATATAACTATGTTATTAATCTTTTCAGAACATTTGTATGATGTTAGGATATTTATTTACTTATCATTGTTGACCCTTCAGTTGATGGAATAATTTTAATAATTTAATGATTTGTTTCAATTACGGCAGGGTTAATGCCACAAGGTATTGTGATAGGAACACTTCTGGGGATGGTGCTTTATGTTCGCTTTAGTCCAGATGATCAGACTGTGGCAGTATGTGCTGGTAATCGAATCTACGTGCTAAATGCAAAGGTAAAACCATATTAGAAACAACTTCCATTGGAATTCCCACTAGTGTGGCTGTTAACACAGACAGAGCTTTCAAAAAGCTTTTGCAAATGTCACATCCATATCCTCCAGCAGATTCCACTGCTTTAGTGTAGTGGGAAAGATTGCAGCGGCGTAATTGACAAAGCTTCCATTCCAAATGCTTTTCACAGCTCTGCTGTGGATTCATTTTAAAATGCTTTGCACAGTTCTATTGCATACATAGTTTGTAAAAGAAATACTTATTTACATGTACTGTTTCATGGAATAAGCAAAAGTTGAAAGCTTATTTTGTAAAAGAAGTGTATTTTTTTTCCAAATTAACAGACAATGTGGTATTAGTAGGCAGTATTCCCAATAACCTTTGCAAGCCTATAAAACAATAAAACTGCTTGCTTGACAATGCAGTATTTTCTCACCTTATGTATAAGCAGGATCAAAGTGCCAGCTTCACAATATAAGCCAGACCCACTTTGTTATGTAATATCTTTCCTCAGTCGAAAGGAAACCATGAACTACAAGTCAGATTATCTCTGATTATGTTTGCTTTATTCGTGGATAAAGATAATAAACTCATTCAGACTTCCACATGTAGAGAGAACAAGAAGAATCACACTATAACAATAACATTGAGTAGATCATCCATGCCTTTAATTAGTTAAAACCTGTGTGTATTTTGCTTGTAATTTGTGCCTTTGGCAAACAAAAGTTTAAGGGAAATAATGCAAGATGGCACTTTCTTTATCCTCATTTTGATTATTGTAAAATATTATTTAATTAGCCTATATACTACTTAATGTGATGTAACCTATATAAGATCAGTTTCATCTTGGTTTTGGTGCTCTTGATTTTGCTTGCTGGAAGCGCAATGATCATTGATCAAAAACTATCAAGGAGAATAGCAGACCCCCACCAACATTGACAGACCGAGCTACTGTACATAAGCAGGGGGCAAATCCAAACTTGCTAGCACTGGTGGTATTACATCTAGTCAGTACATGAAACATCTGCAGTCCAACAACTAAGTTGTGAATTATTTTAATTTAATTTAAATATGAATGCTACAAAGCTTTTGTAAGTAGTTTGAAATTAACTAGGTACAGCATATAATGAAATTAGATCTAATATTAAAATAGAGGGTAAAGGTAACACAAAAGACATGGAGAAGAAGCCTAAAAGTGGCTACGGAATTTCATTTCATATTTAATGGAAGTCATAACTAAAACAGAATTGTGGTTCAGTGCCTTTGCTTAGGAGATATGCTATGATTGAGGGTTCTCTCCCCCACCCTTATATGTAAGATGGCTTTGAAATGTAATTGTTGTTGTTAGTTGCGAAGCCGTGTCCGACCCATCCATGGACAATGTTCCTCCAGGCCTTCCTGCCCTCTACCATCCTCTGGAGTCCATTTAAGCCCACGTCTACTGCTTCAGTGACTCCATCCAGCCACTTCATTCTCTGCTGTGTCCTTCTTCTTTTGCCCTCAATCTTTTCCAGCATGAGGCTCTTCTCCAGTGAGTCCTTCCTTCTCATTAGGTGGCCAAAGTATTTGAGTTTCATCTTCAGGATCTGGCCTTCTAAACAGCAGTAAGGATTGAACTCCTCTAGGACTGACCAGTTTGATCGCCTTACAGTCCAAGGGACTCGCAGGAGTCTTCTCCAGCATCTTCTCCAGCACCAG